CTTTCCACTGAACTTGAATTTGATTGCTTCAGCTGGGCTGGCAATGAGCTCTGGAGATCTGTGTCTCTCCCCTGACCCCTAGGCTAGGGTTACAGGAGGCGGCCATCACTCCCAGCTTTTTCTGTGGGTTGGGGTGTGTGTGTCTGAACTTAGATTCTCGTGGCTGTAAGGCAAGCACTTTACCAACTGAGCCATCTCCCCAGCCCAGCACCGTTCACGTTTAAGGTAATTATTAAGGGAGAAATCACAATGCTAGCCTATGCTGACCCTCCATGGAAGAGATTGACAGGAGGAAAGCAGAACTGAGAGATGGAGGAAAGAGAAAGATCAGTTGGATTTCCTTATGACATATGACATTTTCTGAGCTGGCTGGTCCAGCGTAAGTTATGTGTGCCAACAAATTCCCTTGGGGGCTTAAGCCAACTTGATTTGGGCTCCATGACAGGCAATCAAAAACCTTCCTGAGTGGCATGAGATGCCATGTAAGTTTGTGCAAATTGCATCACATTCAGCCCTCATAGCTCTCCCTGGGGTCAGTCCTGCTTATCTGTGCTTCCCAGACTTCCACCTTGGGGGACCAGACCAGCTGCCTCTTGCTGAGCCTGTCACTCATTCTCAGTACTTACAGGGACCATGGGAGCCTGCAGAGGAACTCAGATTATCTCTCTGCCCCGGTGGCAGCCCTGGGCCTTAGGAGTGGTGCTTTTCTGGTTCACAAGCCCAAGTGTGCTCATGTGAGTGTCCCATCCTTATCCTGAAAGCCATTCAGACATGTGTGTTACACTGATAAATGTGGTTACACAGGTTGTCTGAGATCTGATCCAGGACCTGATCTTAAAGCCCCTGTGGGTTTTCTTAATTTGTTTCTTGTTTTTATCTTTTTCCAGAGGTAATAACTAGGTTCAATGATACGTGCAATGAGGACAAGTCTAGCATAGTTTAAAACACACACGCACACAGAGACAGACGGACAGACAGACAGACAGAAGGAGAAGTAAAATGCTGCTCAATTGAGCACTAGTAACCCACATGAGGAAGAGCCCATTGTGGTAATGGTGCTCAGGTATCAGATGGTTATGGCAACCATGGTGGCTGACATCTGCCTTCTCAGGATGAGCATTTTATAACCAGCATCCATTTTGATCTAGGTGGTAGCACTCACACATGCCATTACTTTAATTGCACACTCATGTGAACCAGGTGGGGCTGGAGAGTTCATGTAACTCCCAGACAGCTCACGAGCCACCAGCATCAAAGCCCAGCACGGAAGCCGAGCCTGTGCCATGTCTGTAAACTGGACACATGCTGTCCTGCGTCGGGAGCAAAAGAGGGGTCTGTGGCTACAGCGCAGGACAGATGACTCCAAACAAAGGGCTGTGGTTCCACCACAATTCTCTGTGGTGCCCCAGTTGGAGACTGCTTCAGAAGAGGAGAAAACTGTATCCTGGGGCCTGCCTAAGATGATGTGGCCCATCTCCAGAGACTGCTCCTGGCTATTCAAGCTTCCCCGTCTCCATCGCTCTCTGAACACAGACGTTTTTGTGACCCAGCCACAGCTCCCCCCCCCCAGAGACTACTGGGGCTACCAGTAGCCAATCCTGCACCCACTGCTGGAGTCCCAACTTGAGCAGAGACCCATGCCCGCTGAACTTCTCTCCCAGTCTCACGCTGACTGGAGCACCCTCTAGTGGCACACCCGGGCTGCTGCTGCTGTCCCTCGGCACCTCACAATGATCTGGGCTTCCTCTTCCTTCCTGACGATCCCAGGAGGAATTTCACATAACTCGATATTTAGTCACAGTTTCAGACTAGCCCTGTTCTTTGCCATGTAGGTGAGCCATCGAAGCCTCACAGCGCATCAGGCTCACTGCTTGTAGAGCAAGGCCGACAGTGGTGGATTTCTGAGGTAGCTGACTTGTGATGATACATTGAGTGCTATCCTCCAGAAGAAAGCAGCTTCTCTTCCACTTTGCTCCTTAACCTCCCAGTAGCTATTGAAGTTGAACTTCGATTTAGCCCTGATGCCCAGAATGAGGAAAAGAGGAGCTGACCGTGGCTGGAGGCTTAGTGAGCAGAGCGCTCTCTCTCTCTCTCTCTCTCTCTCTCTCTCTCTCTCTCATCTGGCCTTAGCAGCATAACTCCCACAATGATGCTCCCGCTGGGTTCAGATGAGGATTCCTCGATTGCTTAGAAGTTCAAGGTGTTTAAAATGTTTCCAAACACATTTCCCCCATTGCTTTCTTTCTGCTTTACAGCCGCCAGACCGCTGAAGGTCGTAAAGCTACTGTCAATCATCTCAGGCTACATGTGAGAAAAGCATGGGTTAGGAGATGAGGTGGTAAAGTCCTGAGGTTCATAACTGGTGACTGGGAGCATGTAGCCCCCAATCCCAGAGCACCTTCCTCCATTCCACTGCATGGGTACAGAGCCTCCTTAAATGCCAGTGCAATGGAAGTTTTATTTTCTTTTAAAACTCAGTTGTGTTATGTAAATATGTTTTTGTTTTAATCCCAAGCGTGGGATTTTAGTTTGGCCTTTAGTTTTTCCACAGCTGATAACTGTCTTGTGGAGGGCCCGGTTGCTGCCAGCCTGCCTCACACAGCATGGAAAGGGGCGTGATCTACAGCTCTGAGGATATAAATATGAGAGCCCAGAAAGACAAGGTGTGGATCGCAGTGGTGGGGTGTGACACGTGGCAGATTGGAGAGACCAGAGATGGATGGTGTGGTAGTTTTCAGACAGATGGAGAGAAACGCTTCAGGGCGCAGCGGCTTGGAGGAGACTGCTGGCTGTGTTTGCTGTTGATGGAGATTGGTATAGCCCTGAAATAACCCATTGACCCTAAACAACCAGGAGAAGTAAAGAGGTCTGCGCCCCCTCTCTGCACTAACCTTCTCTCTCCTACCTAGGGCTAAAAGGTTGGTGGAAGGGAGGTGGAGGTGTTAAAAGCCCCAAATAAAGTAGAGCTTTAAAAACGAGTGCAACAGACCAGCCTTGGGCAGGAGGGCACCGCCAGGTGCAAGGTGGGTGGCCAACACAGTCCACAGAGCCTTGGGGCAGGGACCACTGTGCCTAACTGGGATAGGCAGGGGGGCTGTGGACAGGTCTAGCATGGGCCAGAGGGGACCCTGACCATCTGGGTTCTACCCCATCATGTCCTATGGCTCAGTAGCCATGGATTGCACAGTCCTGTTGCTGGGGGAGGCCTTACCCAAGATCTGCTTGAACTACACAAGAATGGTGTGGCTGGAACATCATGTTCTGTTCCCGGCATGGGCTCAGCCATGAGTTAGCTGAGCCTACACAGCACCTTGACATCTCTGACCTCATCCAAAAATCCCACCTGCCAGAGCAGAGCAGATGAAACAAGAGTGTGAGAATGCCAGGGATGCTGGAGGACCTTAGAGAACATTTCTTACTGCCTTAGGCTGTGCTTTCCCAGTAGTTACTGCTCTGGACCTGGCCTTGGGGACAAAAATTAACATTAGAATTTTCTGTAGCTCACTGGGTATCATATACCTTCACAGGTGCTGTGTGGATATCTCCAACATGGCCTTCAGAGAATCTTGCTGAAACATAAATATTCTAAGGAGCTCTTTTTGGGGGACATTGGGCAGGCTGGGAAGGAATGGGTGGGACCTTTCTTAAGTGTTTCTGTAACCCCAAAGTCTGAGAGATTTTTCTGGGGCTTGATGAAGGCTCCCTTGAGTTTGTGTGAATGCAAAATAGAGGCTTACTGGGCAGCTACTGTGTATAGATGACAAGGTGACCACAAACACATGGCCTCTGTGCACTGGGATACTTCTCCCGGCATACTCTCTCCGCTCCTTTTCCCTGGCCCCTGTAACTTTGCCTAAGTGGAAGCCCTCATCCTGGGCTTTGAATAAATTAAATGACTTGGCAGAGGTCATCCATCCACTGGCAGGAGACTCATGATTCAAGGTCAAACATGAAACTTGCCAAGACTGTCTTGTCCACACACACCTCAGTGGCCCCTAAGAGGCTGTTACTAGCAGAGAGGCGACAGAGAACACACTGGGGTGAGGGTCTGATAAACCAATCTGCCCTGAGAGGATTCATGTCATTAATACATTAGGGATTAGGCAAACAAAGGGAAATGGATCTGATTGGAGAGAGCTTAATGTGTGTGCTTGTGTGTGTTGTACAGGGGTGCGCTGTTGTGTGAGCGTATGTGGAAGGCAGAGGTCAACCTCAGGTACCTTCCATCGTTTTTGAGACACGGTCACCCATTGGCCTGGAACTTCACCAAGAAAGATAGACTAGCTGGTTCACTGGCTTTGAGGGCCCTCGCATCTCAGCTTCTTATCTCACCTGCCATCCCTGGGATTACAAGGATTTGCCACTATGCCTGACCTTTTACGTGGATTCCTGGGATCTGAACTCAGGCCCTGATACTCATGAAGCAAGTGCTATACCAACTGACCAGCTCCCCACCTTGAAACTTGGAGTTTATGGTATTTAATTTACTGCAGCCTTCTTGGTGACGGGAACAACCTGAAATTCCCCAAGTGTCCATCAGTGATACAGTGGAAGCCATCCTGAATAGCTTGGTGATATAGCCATGTTTCTGTGGAACAGCCTCTACGGCCCTGTGCTGGGTGTTCTCCAGACGCAGACCCAGATCCACTCCCCTCCGTGTTCGATTTCGTCCTCTTGGATGGAAACAACTAGGCACCCTGGATTTTTCCTGAAGCAAACTAGAAGGCAGCAGGACAGAGGATTCAGGGAATTTCTTCCTGCTCCACTCACTTGGGATCCACACAGCCCAGCCCCTCCACACTTTCAGCCTCGTTCATCACTGTGTCACCCAATCTTCCTGGACACTGTCACCCTCTTTCTTACCCTCTTGCCCTTTAGGCAGGAAAGCTTTTCCAGTTAAACTATGGAATCTTGTTGCCTACAGGGACACTGATAATGATGTAGACACCTTAGAATCTTTATGTAAGGGACCCCCAAACAGAAACAGTGCCTCTACTGACCTCCCAAGAAACTTTCCGATTATCTTCACCATCAGTGTTCCCACCAGGCCACCAATCGCGAATATGGACACTGTCACAGACCAGAGCAGAGTCAGGGTGTCCGGGTCTATGGGATGTCCATGCCTTCTGACCCAGGTTTCATTGTAAAAGGCCTTGACATACTGGAAACAAACAACAGGAGGAGTTATTTCCTTCTGCTCTGCCCACTGCTGGACACAAAGCAAAGAGCATATTTACAGGGCAGTTTCGCCATACTTGCAACCTTGCAGAACTCTGCACTTTATCTCACCAGGGTCTTCTAACAGAAGAACTCTTACATCACTGTGCAGGGAGGAAAAGTGAGGCTTGGAGAGACAGCATGATTTGTTTGGGAGTCAACAGCTCTGGCCCTAAGCTCTGACTTTACCACACACTGACAACAACTTTGAAGTGTGTTCAAAGTTCACACTTCTTAGACCCCCCTATGTCTGTAGCAGATGTGCAGCTTGGTCCACATATGAGTCTCCTAATGATGGGAGTAGGGCCTGTCTCTGACTCTGTTGCCTGCCTTTGGATCCCTTTCCCCTAGCTGGGCTGCTAGGCCTCAGTGGGAGAGGATGTGCTTAGTTCTGCTGTGACTTGAGATGCCAGGATGGATTGATATCCCTTGGGTACCTCCCCTTCTCTGAGAAGGAGGAGAGTGGGAGATGGGGGATGGGCATGAGGGTAGGACTGGGAGGAGATGAGGGAGGGATCTGGAAACAGGCTGTAAAGTTCACACCTCTAACAAAAGAGCCACTGTGCAATAGCAAAGAAAAGACAATAGGCATGAAAGAAAAATGTGCACTCGAAGTGAATCAACATTTAACTCTCTTGTTCTTCAAAAGACACTGTCAAAAAAATGAAGACAGGGGCCTAGTAAGGTGGCTCAGTGGGTAAAGGTGCTTGCCGCCAAGCCTGAGGATCTGGGTTCGATCCCTGGGATCCACATGGTAAAAGGAGAGAACTGGGTCCCTCAAGTTGTCTCTGGCCTCCATACATGTACTATAGCATATCCCCACATACAAATAAATAAATAGTGCAATTAGATTATTTTTAAATGAAGATATGTCACAGACTGAGTTTTAAATATGTGTAATGTACATACAATGGAAACGCAATCGTGATACATAAAGAAAATACCCACTAGAAGACAAATTCTTGGCTATAGCGATGGCCCAGGAGCCAAGACCACTCTTCTGGTGGACCCAGGTTCAATATCCAGCACCCGCATGGCAGCTCACAACCATCTGTAACTCCAATTCTAAGGGATCTCACAGGTTCTTCCGGCCTCAGCAGGCACTGCATGTAGTGTTTACATGCACATGTATACACATACAAAACTCCCATACATATAAAAATATTTTTTTAAAAAAATAAGACAAATATAATTTAAAATGGTCAAGGAGCCCGAACAGACCTAAACATGCACACGCCCCATTAGGCAACAACAGAATCAATATCATGAGCAATGCATATGAAACCACAACGAGATCTATGTAGACACCCACTCTGTCCTCATCACTGCCCCTGTATTTGGAGCAGGGACCAGGTGAGTCTAATGTGCAACAAGGGCTGGGTTCATGGTACTCTGCTCTCCAAGAAACAACCCAGATGCTCACAGCAGAACAGATAAACAAATTACAGAACAATTATATTGGGAAACCCAATGGTAAAAAAAAACAAACAAACAAACAAAAAAAAAAAAAAAACATGAACTAACTATAGCTCCATGCAAACAGAGAGGAACTCTTACACCATACTGCCCATCCCAAGAAGGGAAGAAAAGCACACCATGGCTCCATGTGTAACACTTGCAGAAGCAGAACTGAGCATTTGTTGGTGGAATTCTACGCAGGTAGCAAACTCTGAAAAATATCTTTCAGTGCCAGGCCACTGGCTTTCCTGGGGGATGCTGTGAGAAATGAGTACTCCATTAGGACGGCGAGTCATCACCCAGTTGGTGGCAACATAAATTCTAGGTTTACAATCTTTATTCTGTGGGTGAATTCACGCATGAGATACATACTTGTGTTTTATATATTCTTTTGTGAATCTGAGCAGGTAGTCCCTTTAAAGCTTAAAAAACAAACAAGAACAATAGCAGTGGAGTCATGTTCCAGATGAAGGGAAATTTGTTGAAACAACATGGTACAGATGCAGAGATGCAGTAAGGTTCATGACACACAATCCTGAAGAGTTCTGCCCCAAGAATCCATTAATCCATTTTAAGAAAGAAAGAAAAAGAAAGAAAGGAAGAAAGAAAGAAAGAAAGAAAGAAAGAAAGAAAGAAAGAAAGAAAG